AATAAGTCTATCCTACTGTCTGAAATAGAATAGACAGCCAAAAGCAAAGAGAGACTCCATCATGCTGCTGAACGGCATAGGAAGGGAGCAGCTCACCATGGAATCTCGGACTATGATCAAGAATGTGCACCAGACTGGTAGCCAGATGTACCTGCCTCAGATCCTGTACAATTAAGTACAGAAGTGTAGTATGAGTACATAAACAATATGTACCCAGTAAGTATCCCGTCTAATCTCGAAGAAGTAGAGACGAGAGGTCGACTTGACACTTACTAGGGTCAAATAATATAAGAAAGTGTTCTGCTAAGCATGTATGTGACAAATAAATAACAATTTATAGCAAGAAGTGATAGGTCATTTCCTAGATAATATCGCAGTTAGCCATCTACATTTCAGGGCATTATACAAAGTTCAATTCACAGAAAATACCGAGCAACAAGCATGCGCAACTAGTGCCGAGGTCGTACAGCCCGATCCAACATAAAATAAAGTATGCACTGCCAGAGGGTCGAACGACGCGAACCATAGATGCATCTATTACCCCTCTCGCGAATCATATGTGCGACGTTGTCAAATATAATTAAACACAACAAACAGTCAGACAGGGATATATCAGGGAAAACAATTATTCAAAGAATGACAACTTCTCTTTAAAAGGTCAAAATATGAGGTTCCTCTTTATAATTTCATTTACCACATTCAACATGATTTAAGCAATCTATGCTGACCATAAAGTTACAAGAATATCACATAAAACATGCTTTTAGGTCCTAGACTATCCAGACTTAAGTATAGTAGTGGCTACGCACGGACTCTCATCACTTAGTGCGTACGTAGCCCCCGCATTTAGTGGCAATTTATTTAATTATTTCACCTATGGGGACAATTCCCTCTTACAAGGGTCGAAAGGAGACTCACCTTGCTCCGAAACGTACTTCCAATATCAAGAACGTGCTCAAACCCTGAATTTGGAGCCGAACGATCCAAAACTAATTAAACGAGGTAGGAACTAGTCAGTACAAGCTCACAAGTTTGCATTCTAACTATTAAAGTAATTTCTCAACCCTAAACACAAGTTTCCTAAAATTCGTCCCCGGGCTCACGTGCCCAGATTCTGGAAATTTTTGAAGAAAGTTGTTCTCTATAACCTAAGGATCAAGAATATATGATTTCTACTTTATTTCATAATAAATTTCGTGGTTAAATCTTATTTATATCAAAACCCTAGTTTTACTCTAATCCCATGATTTTTCGCTAATCTTTGTGTGTTAATCTACCCAAAACCCAAGTATTAAATTCAAAATAAGTAGGACTAACTTACCTCAAATGCTAGGTGAAAGTCTTCTCTCAAGAGCCCCAAAGTCGCCCAACTCATGAGTGGAAATGAGCCAAAAATGGCTAACACCCGCAATAAATGAAGGTCACTGCTTCAGTGATTTCCGCATCTGGGCCCACCACATCTGCGGAAAAGTGTCCGCTTCTGCGAAAATCCAGTTGGGCCGCTGGGCCACTTCTGCGGGGAGAAAATAGCTCTTGCGACTCCACTTCTGCAGCTTTGGACTTGGCCGCTTCTGCCAGAGCACAACCACTTCTGCGGTCTCGCGCCTGTGGCTGACCAACCGTAGGTGCGGTTGACGCTCGGGGACCCCAGGCCCCACCCGAACATACTAACAAGTTTAAAATCATAAAACAGACTCGTTTGAATCCTCAGAACGCCCGAAATAATGCTAAATCTAAGAATCACCCCCTAAAACCAACTGAATCAAACTTATGAACTTCAAGTTCTTCAATTTACTTCCAATGCGATGAAACACACTTATACTACTCGAATTGACACCAAATTTTGCGTGCAAGTCTTAAATGGCAATACGGAACTATTCCCGATCTTGGAACTCCATTCAGACCTTGATAACACAAAACCCGCTCCAAACCAAATATTTAAGAACTTCAAAATCCTTAAGGAATCAACTTTCACTATTAGGCATTAAAACGCTCTCGGGTCATCCAAAACCCGATCCGAATATATGCCCAAGTCCAAAATCATCATATGAACCTGTTGGAATCTTCAAATCCGAATTCCGAGGTCGTTTACTCAAAACGTTGATTGAAGTCAAACTTGGCCCTTTTAAGCCAACCTTGAGGAACCAAGTGTTCCGATTTCAACCCAAACTCTTCCAAATCCCGAACCAACCATTCCCGCAAGTCATAAATCAGTAAAAGCAAGTACGAAAAGTCTTATCTAGGGGAACAAGATTCTATAAAACAAAACGTCCAGTCGGGTCGTTACATTAACCTTCGCATAAGCTTCCCAAATATGAATTTTTATGTGTGTTATTGGCTTGAAGCTCAATTTTTATTTTTGAAGATTTCTTGTTTGATTCAAAGTGTGTGTTATTAAATATTGCTTATAGTACATTCTGAAATTTTATACTGAAATTTAATCACATTTGAAGTTGATTTGAGGCGATTGGGATCGAATCTTTCAGCTAAAAATCGAAAAAGAACACAGTTACCTAATAGTATACTGCTACGGTATATAATATGATGTAGGAGTATATATCTATATTGAAACAATATGATGTAGGAGTATATATCTATATTGAAACAATATACTATTACTACAACAGTATACGGTAATAATTGAATAAGAACACAGTTACCTAACAGTATACCATTACAGTATATAATATACTGTAGGAGTATATAGCTATAATGCAATTGTATACTATTATAGTATATAATATACTGTAATGGTATATTGCAATAATGTGTAATATACCGCAATAGTATCGTGTAATAGTATACAATATACCATAATAGTATACCATTTTAATGTGAACAAAGAACATAAAATATGTTGTAATATTATATAATATACTATAATAGTATACTTCACCTACTATTTGTTGAATCACCTGTGTGCTACTGTGGAAAGCTAAAATCGTAGTGGTCGTCCGAATTTTATTGTTGATAATTAAAAAAAAAAAATTGTCCACCAATGAAGAAGCTTTGATTTGAGAATTAAAAGCTTAATATAGTTATTTGGATTTTGAATTTGGATGAGTATTATTAAATCTTGTTAAAAATGCTTGTAAGGATTAATATTGAAGTTTAAGTTTATTTAGAATTGTTTTGAAGTGGGTTTGGTGATTCCACAAAAGTTAAAAAATTAATAACCTTAATCAAAGAGATAATTATATTTGGGGATAGGTAATGCCGCACATTCTTTTTACAAAGAAGTGTTTTGGTTAAGTGGAATTGGGGATGGGTAGAGTCTGGATAAATAATTTGGAATAGATAGAAGCGGGTAAATATTTTAGGTTTTGTGGGTAATTGTGAATTTATCCTTAAAGGAAACCCGCAATATGATGCAAAGTAAAGAAGATGATGTCTTTCTGTTCAAATATAATTATGTACATATTAGGCTAAATAGATTGTAATATGGGCCTATTTTGGTTTTGTGTTTCACCTATATGTATTACAGTGTACTTGTTTCTAGTTTTTCCTAATACCTTGTCATGTCTTCAAAAGCAAAAATCATCTTTTTGGGGACAGAAAATATTAGTAATAATTACCAATCTTACAAAACTAGACTTTTAAGAAATAAGAAACAATTGATTAAAGTACGCTGTAATATTTGAATGAGAAAAATAAAAATAATGATATATGATTGGAAGTGCTATATAAAGATTACTTCCACTAAAAACTAATGATGTGGTAGATTAAAGTTCCAGAAAATGAATAAAAATATGACATGAATATCTTCTTTAAGAGCCATGTTTCAATTGCCCTATTTTTGATAGATATTCAGCTAATATTGAGAAAGAGCTTTGAATTTGAAAGTCACTGTGAATACGTGTTAATCTGCAGGAAGTTTTGGAGTTTAAAAAAAAAGTAAAATTAATTGTGGATGGTGATAACGATGAGAAGGGACGACATGGCGAAGATATTTACATAAATATAATTGAAGCGGCTAACCTATCATTTGAAAAGCCTACCAAATGCACAAAGAACACCAATGAGATGGCAAAAATGAAAGAAAATAACAATATTTGACCTTAATCACCTAGGTCAAACTCCCAACTTGCACGAAGAAAATTTGTTACCACCATAAATTTTGCTTCCTATAACCCTTTGGAGCACATCGAACAACAAGTGCAAAAAAGATCCAGACCATCAAAAAGGAGATTGTCAATGTAAAACTGATGGGAATAACTCCCAAGAAAGTAGTCTATAAAGCCACAATTTAATCTAAGCAACCTTGTCTTTTCCTCTTTCATTTTCACCAATGTAACATCTGCCCCTTCGTTACCCTTATATTTTCTTGTGTTTAAGATGAAACTATCAATTACCACATTAATATTTTATAATACTCAGCTGCGAATTTTTGTAAAAGAAAATGGTAAATACATTCAAAGAACACTTTATACATTGTACGTATTTTACTTTTGAAGGAACTATAATAATTTTTTCGGAACATTAATGAAAATTAAGCCTTATTAGAATATATACATTATCAATCAATAACGGCTTGTTTGTAGTAGATTTAAGTAGGTGATGTTTTTCAAGAGCATAATTAATAATAAGAAATTGAAGAGACTAAACACTACTATCACGATAAAGGCTATTCATTATGAAATATTTTTACCTTTTTATACAATAGTTTAGCTATTAAAGAGTATAATAAGACTAAGGGTGTAAAAGTCCACCAACTTTTGGTGGACATTTTGGTAATTCAACTTTGAATTAGGAGCTTCTCACTTATAATATAGTATAATAAAATAATAATATAGTATGATATGATAGGATAATTATATAATTATTGTAAAAAATCCTAGTCAAGAATAAAACTTAAAGTGTTGGAAAAAAAGAAGAAGAATAAAACTTATATAGAATTAAAGGACAGGTGCAGGAAGAAAACCGCACCTTATCACCATTTCTTTTATTGTGGTGGTCCCCATACGTCCCTTAAATCATTTTTAACGTTGAATTAAAATACGTGCAATAATATTTCCCATTTTCATCTGCTCTTCTCACTGTTGAACTTCTAACATCGTACTTTGTCTTAACTCACAAAGATTCAGCCATAGACTTTGTGCTCGATGAGATTTTCATCTGCGTTCTTTTTTCTCAGCTCTTGATGAAGTTTGAAGGGAGGGCAATAAGTAAATAGATGGAGTCAAAGTCATTGAGACTGATAACCCATCAATCATTTTTCAGAGCCATTGGATCTGGAGACCTTGAGTCTCTCAAAAACATCATCAATAATGAAGGGTTGGATCCATCTTCTTCTTCTTCTTCTTCTTCTTCTTCTTCTTCTCTGTTGGGCTTACAGAACGATGCAGGTGAAACTGCTTTGTATATCGCTGCTGCCAATAACTTCCAGCAGATTGCAAGTTATTTGCTTGGATTCTGTGATTTGGAGACTGCGTTGATCAGGTCCAAAGCTGATTTCAATGCCTTTCATGTTGCTGCAAAAAATGGCCACTTGGGTATGTACACATTCTTTGCTCTTTTAAACTATTGCTATTGTTCTTAAGCTACCTGCTAGCAAATCATGCTCTTGATTACTTTTTATCTGTGCTTAGATATACAAGCATTCTGTGATCTGTTTTTGGACCTTTTTTTTGGTTTTGGGGTGGGGGGTAACACAGTTCTTGACTTTGTTGGTCAATTATGCTCAAATAGAGTTTGATAAGGTCAATTATCAGAAATTTTGAAGCAAAACCATGAATTTTAATGTTAATTTGTTATCTTTTTATATTTTAAATGATCTAACTGTAAATCATTTATCTAGGAGAATTTTATTCCCAAAAGAATCATTTAGTTCATGAGGAGAGTNTGTTTCATTGGTATATTGATAAGATAGACTTATTTACTCTTCTGAGATCATATGCAATCCGAATATCGGATCCAGGTGCTTGTGATACTTTCTGTTCTTTGAAATGACATTAGTGATGTTCGTGTTTTTATTGCTGTTCAATCGATCGTCTAATCCTCAGTCTCAAACTAATTGGGTCTACTTTATTGCAGTAACCAATAAGTAGGACTGTTTTTTCTATTATTGTTCCTTAATTGAGAAATTTAAGAGCTAGCAAGAAGTACCTGACATGCTCAATTGTAGATTTTTACATTTTGGCCTTTACTGTTGAGTCTTGCGTACGTTACTAGTCCCAATGTTTGTGTATTTTGGAAGATGCTTGGCGGTATAAAGCTTATTCTGTCATTTACAGGTATTGTGAGGGAACTTTTAGCCATGTGGCCTGGACTTTGTAAAGTATGCAATGCCTCAAATACAAGCCCTCTTTATTCAGCTGCTGTCCAGGGACATTTGGATGTTGTGAATGCCATTTTAGATGCAGATGCGAGCTCCATACGAATTGTTAGGAAGAATGGAAAGACTGCACTGCACACCGCTGCTAGGTATGGCCTTCAACATATCGTGAGAGCACTTATAGAGCGAGATCCAGATATAATATCCATCAAAGATAAAAAGGGTCAAACTGCACTTCATATGGCTGTTAAAGGTCAGGATACTTCTGTGGTGGAGGAAATACTGGATACGGACAATTCAATATTGAATGAGCGTGACAAGAAGGGGAACACAGCGTTGCATATAGCCACACGGAAATGTCGTCACCAGGTATCTTTTTATCTATTTTGTTAAAGTTATAACATGACTCTTGCTATTCTGAATATCATGAAGTTAAGGGTTTTCTTTTGCACTTAATTTCCTGAGCAATGCATTTTATTCGTACCTAAAATCCAGTTCTTAAACTGTCAATGTGTTCTTAATCCTTTCTTTTTCTTCTCATTGTTAACTAAAATAGGCAATAGAGGTTTATGCAAGATAGATTTCCTGGAGAATGATGTAGAATTAAAAGAAGGAAAAATATCACCAGTTGCAGAATCTTGCAGAAAGTAGGGGCTGAAGTTTAACCGGAAGCTTGCAACATTGCAGTAGATGACTGTTATTAGGACCTTCATTGGTTAGATTTGGATATAGATAATGCATAAAGTAGAGAAAAGAGCTAGTATTGGGAGTGGTGGTAGTTAGTAAGGAAGAAAGGACGAGAAGTGAAAAAAGCAAATAATATGAGAAAAACATGTTTTAGTGAAAGGAAACTAAGACCGTGCAGCCAAGGGTGTGGCTTGATTATCAATGAAGTGGGTTGAGAATCTTGAGTTCTTAGGTTCAAATCCTAGCGGAGGCAAAAACACTAGGTGATTTGAACCCATCTATCCAAGTCTTGGTGGACAAAATTACCCGGTACCTGTGACTGTGGAAAGTAACAGGTACCTCATGGAATTAGTCGCGGTGCGCGCAAGTTGACAGAGACACCATGGTTATAAAAAAAATGAAAGGAAACTAAGACTTCATCTACACACGCAACGCACGTGGAATATGGCTCTATTCTACAATGGACACACATTGGTGATAGGACCAGAAAACTTGTCTTATTGATGTAGTATCCATGCTATATGATTTGGGCTTCCAAGTAATTATATTTTCTTCTCATGCTTTTGCAGCCATATCAGGTATAAAAGGTTTTCTAGTGTTCAACCATACCAGAAAACTATTGTATGTTACAATCTTTGACTATAAGATTCTTAAAAGGTGCGTGAAAAGGCTAGTGGAGAAGAACGTATGAATCCTTACAATGTTTAACCTTTTACACACCATGGAAAATGCGCCTAAACAATATCTAAACCTTTTATGCTTGATCAGTAGATATGTTTTGTAATAATAGATTTGGAGCATGTCATATGACGCTTAATTATACTAAGTACCATTAAGTACTTCTTTCTTCATTATTTCTCTTCAAGAACTTCCACAAAAACATCACAACTCGTGATTCACAAGGAATACTTTTCAGCAGTTTTCTACTTGGAAAAAGCAGATGTTAAGAGCACTGATGTGGATGAAAAGACTGCTTTGTCTGAATATAAATTGGAACACTGGTGTACGTGTTCCCACTATCTGGGGGCATGATTGATTTAAGTGAATTTAGAGCAGTTCTAGTCCCCAAAGTACTGAGCATCTTCATTTAGGAAGTGTGTTACATCAATCCCTTCTTTAGTTATTGTACCTGAATCAAATGGGTACGATATAGGTGTAATTATTCTGTGCAGATTCTTTGAAATGTACTAAAAGTTGTCAGAAAGCTGCAGATACCCATCTAGGATACCTACATGAAGTCATGAACCCGTACCGCATACGTATGTTGAGTCTAGGTAACATAGTTTTGGAACACAATCAGAAGACAGTCCTCATGGCTTTCCAGAATTTTTTGTCCTTTTTTGGACCCTAGGAAGTTTTCACAGTAGTGAAAATGAATACTAACAGGAGAAGAGATGAATAGAAATTCATCATAAGAATTTTGGGACATAGTTTCATCATCTAAGTGGATCGAAGTTGAGAAGAAACTCAAAACATCCTAGTGATTTATACAGCAAAAGTTGCAATTTTCATGATGGAACAGAAGGGAAATTTATGCAAAGAAAAATGTGGAGTTGTTAGTTCAACGACCAATTTATTATTACACTACACACATCATTGATCAGGACATATAATGCTGAAAAATCTGAAATGATGCAGTCTGACATTACCATTTGGTTTCTATAGATTTCTTAACTGTAAAGCTGCAATTAGACTGAACTGAATCTCAATGCTTCAGATTCATAATTGATGGTTTTCTCTTTTGTTCTAAAACATTGTGCACCAGCATAGACTTTAGCATCTACTTTACCACTGATGGCAGATAAATCACTTTCGTGCATATAACGACTATATATCGTACGTCCTGCAATACTTTTATTGTGTTGTCTGAGGAGTTGCATTTTCTTACCATTGCTGGTTTTTATTTGTTTGTATCCTTATGATGTACCTTTGTTTCAGATCGTAAGCCTTCTGCTCACTTACACGTCCCTTGATGTCAATGCAATTAATAACCAAAAGGAAACTGCAATGGACTTAGCAGATAAACTACAATATGGAGACCTGACTTTGTTAATTAAGGAAGCCCTGGCTGAGGCTGGTGCAAAACATGCCAGATTTGTGGGTCAATTTGATGAAGCATCAGAACTTAAGAGGACTGTAAGTGACATTAAGCATGAGGTGCAGTCCCAGCTTATACAAAACGAAAAGACCCGAAGGCGTGTTTCTGGTATTGCTAAAGAACTTAGGAAGATTCATAGAGAAGCTGTTCAGAATACCATTAACTCTGTGACTGTGGTTGCTGTTTTATTTGCCTCTATTGCTTTTCTGGCTATATTCAGCTTGCCAGGCCAATATCTGGAGACTGGTCCTGAAGCAGGAAAGGCCAGAATTGCCAATACTGTTGCGTTTCGTGTGTTCTGCCTCCTGAATGCTACCTCTCTCTTTATATCTCTCGCTGTTGTCGTCGTTCAGATTACTCTGGTTGCCTGGGATACTAGAGCTCAAAAACAAATTGTCTCAGTCGTGAACAAGTTGATGTGGGCAGCCTGCGTTAGTACTTGCGGAGCATTCCTAGCTGTTGGTTTCGTTGTTGTAGGGAAGAAAAGTTCATGGATGGCAATCACTATTACTGTGCTTGGTGCACCAATTCTTATTGGAACGCTGGTTAGCTTGTGCTACTTCGTTTTCCGACAGCATTTTGGAATATGTGGTAGTGATTCTCAAAGGCGTATCAAAAGAGCAAGTGGGAGCAAATCTTTCTCGTGGTCATACTCTGCAAATATTTCTGATTTGGATGACTACAACTCTGATGAGAAAATTTATGCTCTGTGACATTGTGGCATGTTCTATCTGAAAGAGTTTTAGTACTACATAATCACGGCTTTCCACATATCGTTAAAACCTACTCCTAACAAGTTGCTGGATCAAAATGACTTTCTACGTATCGTGGGGACGAGATATATTGAAAGTGTAATCATACTCTGTTGACACCAGTGTCCCTTTTTTGCGTTAAGATCCCATGTCATCGAGAAGGTCAACGTGATGTTTGGTCGAGATACACATGCATCAGGTATTCATTTTGAACACAATGCAAGAAAATTCCTCCTTTTTTTTTTTTTTTTTTTTTTTGCTCATAGCGTGTGGTATGATGGAAAAGTAAAATCTGGAGCTGGTAGTTAGTTGTATAGGTTTAGCAGCTTTGCTTCAGTCCTTCAGGATGTCCATTTATATAAGGTCATCTGTTTCTAATAAATACTTTTGTGGTGTGCACCCCTTTGATGTAGAATAAGAGTCAATGTTGCTCGGACTCTCCAAAACAGCTGCCGTACCCATGGAGGATCCGATATGAACCCATCAATATTTCGGAGGAACCGAGCAACATAGATAAGAGTATGAATTGAGGTTTGTACATACTAGTGCAGGACTCTTTGAAATCCAATAAAAAGCTTGTAAGTTTGTTGGAAGAAACTATAGCATAACAAGATTTGTTTTACAGCAGCACCGTTACTATTATTTTACTGAGGCTGGATTGAGGTATGAAAATGAATAGCTATGTCTTTTCTAGCCCCGAAAGGGTTGAACATATGTTGCTTCTTGATTCTGTTTATTATTTAATTATAAGCACCTTAACACAGCTAAGAAAAGCAAATATTAAAAAATATGCAACTTGAATAAGCATGCTCTGGAAGTAACACGAGGAGCATTACAAAAGAAATCTTAGGAGGGGAGAAGGCTCTTTAAATTCCAGCCACAAAGACCTTGGTTATGCATTACCAGCACAATAAGAAGAGTGACAGAAAGTCCATTGTAAAATATTTTTATAGCCAATGTTTACACATAGAACAAAATCTCCAAATACATAAAGTCCTCATTAAGCTTATCCAGAAAACATGTTTGAACACTTAACTTAAACGGGTAAATTTTTACTACACCCCCCCCCCCNATACATTCTCGACTTCGACCCTACCTACAGGCTTAGTTTTGATTACGACCCACCAATCAGACTTATTCCGCCGAAATGGATAAGGAGCATAATACACTTGCCTAACATTATGTGCAATTATGAAAGGATCATAGCGATCATACTCCCTCGTATGATTAACCTTAATTATGTTATATTGATTGTGTACTCTCGTACCTCTTTTTGGATTTGGGTCAAACCACTTGCATCTAAAGAGAATAATTTTCTTAAATGGCCTACCTGAATATTCTAGTTCTATTATTTCTTTGAGCACACCATAATAATCAATATCTCCAACTTGGTT